TAAAATCGTATTTTATTGGTTAAGGAAAGAAAATTACATGGAGAAAACTGAGGGAAATGAACTGGGTTAATGATCGCCATGACGAAGACGAATGAATAAGATTTCTAAGAACCTTGCTTCCCAAGCCAACGCGTACTTACTCACAGCCGTAGAATTACTTATCTCTTTGAGAAAGTTTTTTAATTCGATTTTTCCATCGAAAACCTCCGAAAATCGCAAATGTTTTGGGGGGAAGAGAAAAAAAATGAGGTTCTGAAATTGCATTCTGAAATAGACTGTTCTTCAAAATAATCTTTTTTAGAGCATTTTTGAGAAGGAGGGACCTATGAAAATATTCGAGAACAGTGCACTTGCTATATATCATTGTAAATATTCTACTTGTGCTAATTCAATTTGCAATAGTGCAATTGTGGAAGGGCTAAAAAATCTAAAACTTCAAGTATTGTGAAGAAATTTCTAAACTGAGGTTTTAAGCCTCTTTGATACTTCCCAATTCTTTCTTCCCCTCACCCTATCCCCCCACTTTTTGCAAAACGATATTAGTTATGGATGCATAATGTGATACAGAATTCGTAAGTCAATTTAGCTTGGCTTCCCTAAGGTGCGCCACTGGCCAATCAAAACACTCAGTGCCGTGATTGGCTGGCAGTTAGAGCTGTGATTGGCCGCTGATCTAATTTGTACTACTACAGTATGCAGGGGCGAAGAGGATGAACGGATAGAGACTGGTAGGGGTTGTGATTTTGGAAAAACTTCGAATGTTTTCTAACTGCTGCAATGCTGCAATACTGGCCAATCAGAGCTCTTGTTGTTGTGATTGGCGCACAGCGCTAAGAGCTCTGATTGGCCAATGGCTAGGAGTTGCGATTCTGAATTATTACAGTATCCCGGGACCTAAAGGGTGAAAGGAAAGAGAATATGAGGAGATGAGATTCTAAATAAAGAGTTTAAATGTCAATTTTAACTTACTCTAAATCATTTATACTTCGGAGTCATTGTTCAGAAAAAAATAAGCAGGCTAAAAATCAAAAGCAAAGCACCACCTTATTTGCAAATTTGGTACATTATGTAGTACTGTAAGGTTTATGTAGGATTCTGGTAAGAAGTAAACAGACTAAAGTCATTAACCATCAATAGTATGGAACTATTTCCTTACGTACAGCAACAAATGACGCTGTAGCAAAGTGCAAATGGTATGAGGTCCAAACAGATATCCAGAAAGGACCAATCCAAGTCTTGCCTGACCAAAGTTCAAATGTGTTTGGTAGGATTACTGTACAGATTACTGTAGCAGTTCACATCCTTGGACTGAGTACATGGGGATTATCGAAGGAAATGTCAACAGATTAGGAGATCCGATCGCAGTAGGATGATATGCAAGGGTCGGAACTTGCGCGAAGTGTTCACCGATGACCACCTTATCTACTGGAGAGAATTTGCAACACAAGGGGGAGCGAAAGATGTAAAGAGACCCGTGCGCGCAGAGACGGACGGACGGGGTCGAGAGGGTGGTAGTCATATGACTGAAGATCGTTTTATAAACGACATCTTCTTGCCACGGGTTTTTGTCGGACGGGGGCCGGACGGCTGGCTGGCTGAACGACCTCGACCAAAGCCAGCCAATCGTCGCGATTTTGCACAAAACTAGACAAGAATACAAGAGTTCTGAATTGCGAAAGTGGAAAGGTGAATAGAGGTGATGTTTGAGACCAATGTAGCAAA